CAAGGTCCACCTGGAACCTTCTCTGGATAAGTCCCTGACGTAGCCTCTCCTAGCATTAGCTCTGTTAGCATTGTGTGCTGTCTCCCTCTGCTGGCCCTCAGGTCTGTGACCAGGCTCTGTACAGCCTTCGAGTCCAGGACAACGGACGCTTTTTGGCCTGTGGATCCCAGCAGGGCGGCGCCACGCTGCTGGAGATCTGCCCTGGACTCTCCACCCTCCAGAAAAATGAGAAGAGTCTGCTAGCTGCTGTAAGAACCCCCCGACAGTTAGCATGTGCTGAGGTGTAGCATGCTAACAGTTCTGATTCTGTCGTTCCAGAGATTTGAGCTCATTCCACAAATATTCCTGTGGCTAACGTTTAGCTTTGTTAGCCTTACACATGGCTAACTACTCAACAGTGTCTAAACCATTAGCCAACTATGGCTAACCTTTAAATAAATAAATACATTTGTACTATATTGATCCCCTATTTGGGAAATTGTTGTGTTAGCAGCAGATATGCTCTGGGAATTGAACCCAGGACTCTCTGCTTCTGAGGGCTAACCGCTAACCGCTACACTATGGATGTAGTCATGGTTCAACTACTCCTGGGCCTCGTGTTAGCCATTCATAGCTAGGTTGCTACATGTGGATAAAGGCTGTTTCTGTTGCTAACCTTTAGCTGACATTTTTCTAAAAGCTGGGTTGTGTCCTGACAAACAGACATGATGTCATAAAATAAGTCTGACTAACAGTAACAGTGCCACAGCGCCACCTGCCCTTCGCATGACCACCCCATTTCTGTCTGTTTGTCTTCAGATGTTTGAGCGCGAAACCAAGAGGGAGAAAATCCTGGAGGCTCGACAAAAGGAGATCCGCCTGAAGGAGAGGAGTCGCTCGGCCCAGAGCCGCGAAGAGGAGGGGGGAGGAGGAGGAGGAGGGGCGCGAGAGGAGGGGGAGGATAGTCCCGATCAGCTGATCAGCAACGCAGAGAACAACTTCTACAACATAGTGGAGGCGGAGCTGAGGAGGAGGAGGGAGAAGGAGGAGGAGGAGAACCAGGTGAACCTCTTCTGTCTGAGCCTCATCTCTGAGCTAACCTTTAGCTATTTCAGCTAGCTTTTAGCTGCTGCTGTGCTAACCTGCAGCTGTTTTTGTCCTTTTTCACTGTTGTGGCTACTTCCTGTGGCTAGCTGTTAGCATTTTTAGCATTTTCCTCAACTGCCAGGTTTTTAAGGCTGTGGTTCCAGTTTAACTAGTTTAACTAGTTTATCTAGTGACTGAACGGTCGTAAAAATCAGGCAAATGTAAAAAAAAAAAAATCTAAAGAAATTGCAGAAAATCTCAAACTGTGTTTTTCAGGAGAAAGACGTCTGTGAAGAGAAAGAAGTGAAAGAAGAAGAAGAAGAAGAAGAAGAAGAAGAAAGATAACTCCAGAAAAACACATGGTCATGTAGTACAAATAAGTACTTGGGAGTACTCTGGATTTGAGATCAGAGCTGCACTGCTACTGTGATACCACCGGGGGCAACAGAGGTCAAGAAGGTGGAATCACAGAACGTAATAATTCTTTACAGCTACGACTGAACTGCTTTAGTTTCATCAGTTTAATATTTTAAAATATTTACATTACAACAGAAGAAAAGGCTAAAAACAGTGAAAAACAGACGAAACAGAAATAAAAATCTATTTATTACAGATTTAAAAATTCCATTCAAATCGACTGCTTTTCTACTAAGAAATAATGTTGTTTTAACTGACAAATAAAATAAAGTTCAAATCTGTTTGTACCTGAAGTTCTTTTTTAAAAAAAATCTGATTCAAAATTTCAAGTAAAGAAAATTCAACCATTGACTCTAAATATATATATTCTTGCCTGTAGGGGGCAGTAGTCACTCAGTTTGTAGCTTCTGTTACTAAAACTCTGATTTCTTTTAAATGATGTGGGAGGGCATCATTTTGAGGCGAGGTGTGGTGGTGCAGGAGGCCTGCTGGTGCAGCTCCATCACAGGGCCCATGGTCATTCCCGACCGGCCGCTGTCCGACCTCCGCTCCGTCGTTGGTGCGGTCCAGTCTCCTTCACTTGGTCCTCCCTCGACACCTCTCCTCTTCTGGTGGTGATGTTGGCTACAACCAGTAGTGGCCTGTCCACAGCGCCCCCTCTGGCCACGTGCTGCTCCACCACGTCCATGCCACTGTTGCTCCTCTTGGAGTTTCGCAGGAGGTCAACCAGGTAGTTCTGCCTCTCCATACTGTGCCCCCTGCTGGTGTTAAAGAGCTCCACGGCCCGTCTGGGATCCAGCCCGTCCACGTCGATCAGGTAGCGACACAGCAGGTAGCCCGTGCGGTTCACACCGTGGGTGCAGTGGACTCCAATCAGCCTGTCGTTGTCCGGGTTCTCCGTCAAGAAGTGCCTGACGGCGCGTTTGAAGCTGAGGATGGTGGCGTCGGAGGGAACCCGCTGACCTTCAGTCAAGATCTTGACGTAACCGCAGGACTGGGGGACGTCCACCAGGGTGTAGTATCTGGTGGTGACGGTGAGGTCGATGATCAGGCCCAGCTCCTGGTTCTGACCCTCCACTGAGTCCAGCAGCTCCCACAGACTGAAGGACTCTGCCCCGGGGACCAGGCGGTTCAGGGACGGTTTCAGAGGAGTTTTGAAGGCAATGAAGCGAGAACCAGGAACCCTGCGTCCAACAGGACGGTAGTTCCTCCACCGGTCTGGAATCCCCCTCTTCTTCTTCTTCTTCTTCTTCTCCTTCTTCTCCTTGTGTTGCGGCGTGGCTGCTCGGAGGTCAGACATGACTGACCTGTGACGTCACCACAGACAAAAACAACATCAGGACAACACCAAGGTTCTTCAGAGACAAAGGGACTGATGATGTCACTGATGACGTCCAATCCTATTCATTTCATCACAGACTTTTTTTGGAGGTGAAACGTCCCTTTAACTGGAGCGATATAAACGACATGTACCGTCCTGGGTTTGAAATGACACGTGACACCACGTGTTGAATTTATAAAAATCAATCAATCAATAAAACCCCTGAATCTGAGCCAGGGTTAAAGAGTGAACTGGTTCAAAGGAGGGGGCTAGCCTTAGCTTGAGCCACATATGAACCCTGACTGAAAAGCCATTTTATTTCTCGGCCGAATTGAAGCAAGACGTGGATAAAACATTCCGTTTTATTTACGTCATGTTTTTACGTTAACTCTTCGATGACACGAGGAGAAAACAAAAATACGCGTTTATTTCAAATGTAGTCTGGTTTAAATGTCTTACCCGATGTAGAATTTAAAACTGCAATTTTACGACGAAAACTCAGTTAAGACGTAAACCTCAAACATTACGTCATGATCGTGACGTCATTACCTAAATCCAAAAGTTGTGTTTTTCGTCACAGATGTTTTTCCATGAGACATGTGACAACATTTAGCCTGTTAGCATGTTGACACGTCAAGCCACGCCCCGGTGTTTACGTGGAAGTGACATCACGACACGAAAACTCCACAATGGCCGCCGTTCCCCGGAAGCGTCGTCGCTTTGTTTACATCGCGTCTTTGTTTTAGTTCATTAAAAACTATAGACGTTTAAAAGGATGTTGAAGACGCGCTGGAGGAGAAGTCTGAAGGCCGCGGTGCAGCATCAGATGGCGGCCGCAGCGGATCACATCCTCCGCCTGCTGACCGAGGCTCCGCCGCCCGAGCCCGAGCTTCTGAGGCGGCTGGTCAGCGAGCGCGTCTCTGCCGCCGTGGAAGAGATCCTGACCGCCTTCAGAGCCTCCAGGGCCGCTGACAGAGAGCAGGAGGTGCCGGGGAACAGAGTGTCAGCTGCGGACAGCGCAGGTACGAAGGACTTCTGTTAACACCGTCTGGATTACAGGGAAACGATTTACCGGAATAAACATATTTGTGTTTTTTTTTACGTGTCCTTACGAATAAATCCACTTCCGGTCCCTACTTGAGTCCAGGTCAGGGAGTGACTTCCTATCGTTAAACTGTTGTTTGTTTTTGTACCAACATTCGACGCCATTTTTAATCAGTGTTATTTCAGTTTCCTTCCATGTTGTCGTTGCAGAGCTGTGTCTGTCAGTGAACGTCCACCTGGAGGACACCAGCACCGCTCCGGCCGAGCCGGACCTCCAACCAGAACCTCCAGACCGCCCGGCTGCTGAGGAGGAAGAGGAGGGCGAGGAGGAGGAGGAGGAAGAGGAGGAGGTGGCGCCAGAGTCTCACTGCTGCCGAGTGTGTAGAAAGTCCTTCGACAGGAAGGGCTTCCTGATGAAACATGTTGAGAAACATCTGAAGGACGCGGGCTGCCGGTGTGGTCTATGTGGGCAGCGTTTGGACTCCACGCAGGCTCTGAAGGTCCACCTTCAAACTCACCGCCGCAGCAGCCGCACGTGCGATGTCTGCGGGAAGACGTTCCCGTCGATCCGAGCTCAGGAGACCCACCTGAGGCTACACACGGGAGAGAAACCCTTCAGCTGCCCCGTCTGTGGGAAAGGCTTCAACCAGAAAGGAAACATGGTGACGCACGTCAGGGTCCACAAGGCAGAGAAGCCCCCGAGCCAGAACCTCCGCCACGCCACAGATGATGACCAGCAGGTGGCGTTCAGCTGTGAAGTCGGTTCAAAGGAGTTTTCGAAGAGCGCGGACCTGAAGCGACACAGTGAGACCCACGCGTCCGATGGTCCGTCCGCCGCCAGGAGCAGACGGCTCAAAGTTAGCCTCGCTGCCACGCACTGGTGTAAGGTGTGTGGCAGCGGCTTCCACAACAAAGGCAACTTTGTCCGACACGCTGAGACTCATGTGAACGATTCCAGGTGTTTCTGCGGGGTCTGTGGTGAGGCGTCGGCGTCGGCGGAGAGTCTGAGGATCCACATCCAGAACCACCGAGACACCATCAAGGTCTGTGACATTTGCGGGGTTGGTTTCAGGGACATGGAAATCCACATGAGGACACACACCGGTCAGAAACCGTTCCGCTGCAAGGACTGCGGCAAGGACTTCCCAAGGAAAGGTTCTCTGGAGCGACACATGAAGCTGCACGCGGGGGAGAGGCCGTTCATCTGCGAGTTCTGTGGTAAGACCTTCATCGAGAACACCGTCCTCAGGAGACACATCAAGAGCCACACGGGCGGGAAACCTCGGATTTACTCCTGCGATGTCTGCGACAAGAGGTTCACCATGAGCCAGCACCTGGACGTGCACAAGAGGATCCACACCGGAGAGAAACCATACACCTGTCGCGTTTGTGGGAAGAACTTTCGCCAAATAGGCAACCTGGACTCTCACATGAGGATTCACACGGGGGAGAAACCGTTCATCTGCAGTCTCTGCGGAAAGAGGTTTCGCCAAAAGATCTCCCTGGAGACGCACGAGCGCTTTCACAAGAAGGAGAAACCTTACGGCTGCCAGCTCTGCAGCAAAAGCTTTGTCCAGAAAATTGACCTGAAGAGACACATGTTGACGCACACAGGAGAGAAACCGTACAGCTGTGGCATCTGTGGGAAGAGCTACCAGGAGAAACGCTCAGTGGACTCGCACATGAAGGTGCACGTCGGAGAGAACGTCGGAGAGAACGCCGGAGAGAACGTCGGAGAGAACGTCGGAGAGAACGCCGGAGAGAACGTCGGAGAGAACGTCGGAGAGAACGTCGGAGAGAACGTCGGAGAGAACGTCGCCAAAGACCAGCTGATGGTAAAGAAGCAACAGGAAGAGGGGCACAGTGACTTCATCCAACTGTGATGAATGTGGGTTTTTTGGAGCATACTGCCACCTACTGGACTACTGTAGTCATTACACTGTAGTGTCACGGTTTGACCAGTGACTTTTTCAGTCTACTCCTCACACCTTGATGGACCACACCTTTATTTCAACCAATGAGAATTGTCACGGATTTGTATTGATGTTTAACCGATTCACGATGAATCGTTACATCATTAACTGTCACGTTTCTCCACATCCTCTGATGTCAACACTGTAATAAAAAAAGTTATTCAAATAAATATGGCCAACAGTGTTTTATATTGTCAGAAGACATTTTAGCTCCTATGTCTTTACACACACACATATAAACGTTATTACATTTTTATTAATTCTGATTTACATATCAACCTGTGTACTGCTAGCTAAATACACTCCGATGCTAATGCACAGCTAACATCTGCCATTTCTGTCACACCTCTCTTTGAAGAGCATTGTGCTAATGCTAAAGGAAGAGGTCGTCATCAAACTCACGGATCAACAACTGTTCATCAACATTAAGTCCATTTTATTGGTGTAAACAAATAAAAGCAACGCATTTCGTGTCATAGGACGGTTTTGATATCAACGAAAAACTAAATGAATTTGACGTCATCCTCCAGAGAGTCCGTGAGACAAGGACAAAGGTAGAAGGATCAATTTATGGTCATTATTCTGTCAGAATAATGACCACAAACAATAAACTAAGTTCAACTAATTTCAATCGAAAAATCGAGAGCAGAAAACCCGGAAACGATGAAATTGTACATTTCCGAGGGACCCTAAACGCACCACACAGAGTAGAGGAAATAGCTGAAGACAAGAGCCACCGAATCGAGAGACAAAACACTATATTTGAAAGATTGTTAAACGTTCGAAATGGGTTTAATCGACAGGAGAAGGGACGTGTTTATGTTCGGATCGTGTCTGGTTCCAGTTCTGGTTCTGTTGGCCGCAGCTGTGACCGTGAACTGCGGTAAGTTCGGGCGAAATCGAAAGTAAAAAAACATAAGTTTTATTTTTCGATTAAAATTATATTGTTTTCGTCCAGGACAAGGAAACAGGCGAAATGTAGCGCAGATATAAACATCGACTTTAGTCCAGACCTTGGCCTCCGATATATCGAACCTGAAAAATGACAACATGTCGACGGCTGCTGTGCTGTGTTAAAAGCACTTTTACTATATTTATTTGTTGACGATGTATCGATATTTGTATCGATCCGTTTCAACTAGAACAGTCGTTGTTTGGTTCAGGTTTTAGTTCGGTTTCCTGTTCGTTTGTGTCAACTTATCTGAAGTTAAGTTGGAAATTAGCTGTTAATTAATCGTAACATAGTTCAGTGTGTGATCCAGTTCGGCCTCCTTCAGGTTTTTTTTGTTGTTGTGGGTGAAACGTTGTTGTTTTTTACTGTGAACAAATAAAGAATGATTTTCTGTCACTTCTCCAGAAACTCACTCTCTGACCTACATCTACACGGCCTACTCCAAAGAGCCGTCCACTCCTGGTCTTCACAAGTTCACAGCCATGGGTCTGCTGGACGGCAGGATAATCGACTACTTTGACAACGACCATCCACTCAAAGTTCCCAAACAGAAATGGATGGAGGAGCAGGAGGATAAGGACTACTGGAAGAAGGGGTCTGATACCCTCAAGAAGATGATGGACTGGTTCAACATCAACATCGGAATCTTGATGGATCGGATGAGACAAAACCAGTCTGGTCCGTCACAAGTTCTTTTGGAAGTTTTTAGTTAATAATTAGTTAGTAATTACTCTGCCGCACCAAAGTCCATGGAGAAAATCAGAGATTTTAGTTCAGACCAAAGTCCATGGAGAAAATCAGAGATTTTAGTTTAGACCAAAGTCAGTGGAGAAAATCAGAGATTTTAGTTCAGACCAAAGACTGTGTAGAAGATCAGAGATTTTAGTTCAGACCAAAGTCAGTGGAGAAAATCAGAGATTTTAGTTCAGACCAAAGTCCATGGAGAAAATCAGTGATTTTAGTTCAGACCAAAGTCCATGGAGAAAATCAGTGATTTTAGTTCAGACCAAAGTCCATGGAGAAAATCAGAGATTTTAGTTCAGACCAAAGACCATGGAGAAAATCAGAGATTTTAGTTTAGACCAAAGTCAGTGGAGAAAATCAGAGATTTTAGTTCAGACCAAAGACCATGGAGAAAATCAGAGATTTTAGTTCAGACCAAAGTCTTTTTATTTCTTTCTCCACAGCTGTTCTGCTGACCTTTCATGCCTTCTAATATTTCTGCGTCTCCATGTCTGTCTTTTAGACCTGCACACCCTACAGTGGCTGCATGGCTGCGAGGCCAAAAAGGAAGCGGGGGGAATGGTGTTCACCCGCGGCCTTGACATGTACAACTATGACGGTAAAAGTTTCCTGGAGTTTGACGATGCTCATGGAGTTTGGTCCACTGCCAATACTGCGGCAGAGCCGACCAAAAGGAAGTGGGACGGGGTGCCGGCCCTGTCCAACATCTTTGAAAACTTGATCCACTGCCAATACTGCCACAGACTTCCTTGCGCCAAAAGGAAGTGGGACGGGGTGCTGGCCCTGAAGGACTACACCAAGGGCTACCTGGAGAATGAGTGCTGCCAATGGATGGAGAAGTTCCTGCAGAAAGAACAGGAGGAGCTTCAAAAGTCTTGTAAGTGTCTATGTTGGAAGGTGGAGGAGATGAAGAAGACCTTTGAACTTTGACCTTCTTCTCTTGGGTCCTGGTACGACCCCTGACCCAGCAGGATTCTAAACACATTTTCAATTTCTCCTGCAGCGCTGCCTGATCCCGAGGTCTTTCTGTTTACAACATCGTCCTCCGTGAACGACAGGGTGAACCTGAACTGCTTGGCCACGGGCTTCTACCCCACAGACGTGGACCTGCAGATGACGAGGGACGGTCAACTCCTCACGCAGCTGAACGGACTCCGAAGCTCCAAGGTTCGACCGAACCACGACAACACGTACCAGCGCAGGGACACGGTGGAGATCTTAACCAGTGACACGTCTGAGTTCAGGTGTGAGCTTCTTCATCCGTCCTTCACTGCCCCCATCAGGAAGGTCTGGGGTAAGAACTTGAACGTCGTCTTCACGCTGAACATGTTTGACACAAAGGTGAAACTGAAGTGAGATTTTTGAAATGTTTTTATTTGATTTTTTTCAGATCACACTCAGCTTCCGCGTCCACAGCAATGATCATCGGTGTTGTGGGGGGGTGTGTCCTCCTCTTCCTCCTGGTCGTCGCCCTGCTGTTGATTTGGCTGCATAAAAAGAATAAACTGAGTAAGTGATGGAGACAGAGATGAACTAAGGATGCTGAGGCTCGGCGACACGTGGCCTAAAACACATGGACTAAAAGTTAGCTGATGTTTGCTCAGCTATAGCTACAAGTTAGCTGAGATTGACTGTTGGTTTTCTAACCATTTTGGAATAAATAAAAAAAACCAACAATTTAGCTACTTGTTTAGTCGTTTAGCTAACCTCTAGTTACTGTTGTAGTTAATGTTTAAGCTAACGTGTTCTTGTGCAATTGTTTTTTCCACAGCTTGTTTTGGAAACACAAACGAGAAGAAAGAACTCTCCCAAGGTGAATAACACGGTGACCAGTCCGCATGTTAACTCACCCATGGTCAACTAGTTAACCTAGTTAGTTAACCCGTCCTCCAGGCTCTAAAAGTCTTTGTTGGTTTGTTTTGGTCCTCAGGCTCAGAGAATTCTCTGGACTCAGGGAAGTCGTCGGTCGGTGAGTCTTTGTTTGTACATTTGTTTCCCCACAAAAAAATCAGGGAAACATTTCTTCACTTCCTGTTTGCTTTATGTTTCTGGGTTTTTTTTAAAACAAATCTGTGAAAATTGTTTTCTCTGTGTTTTTTTACAACTGGAAAATCTGATGTGTATGAAGACAAACCACTGATAAAAGGTAAACACATGAGTTTTTAAATCCAGGTTCAGTCAACAAATACTGCTAACATTTAACATCTGCCCTTGTTGTCACCTCTAGTGGCTAATGGAGGACAGAACCTGGTATCTGGAGAGCAGCAGAACCTGGTCTGAGGTCTGGACTGGACCAGAACAGAAGTCTGGACGATGCTACGTGTTAAGGACGACCTGTACAGGAAGTTGCTGCTGGCCTTCTACCACTACTCAGTGGAGAGTGTGCTGACAGCCCAGGACAGGAAGGTGGTGCTGAGGGTCATAAACACTGACACCCCGTCCACCCGTTTGACCTGTTAACCTGTGGAAGACGCTACAGGTTAATCAAGTCTCACACCACCAGACTGACAAAGAGCTGTTTGTCCTGGTATAGCTGTTCTACTGTCTGGTATACCTGCACTACCTCCTGGTATACCTGCACTACCTCCTGGTATACCTGCACTACCGTCTGTGTTGTAAAAAGTTTTGTATGATTACTGTATGTTGTCGATGTGGTCAGTCTGAAATGTGACACCATACCACGGGGAAAGACCTATGGCCCCATTTTTCACCAAAAGATATTTTGTAATGGAAGAATTCTTGAGAAGAATATTCTGCCATGGCACGTCGGCGACGGGGAGGGTGAGTGGAATTCAAGGCGTTAACAAAAGCGTTGATGGGCATAATTTGGAGCGAGTGGTAATTTAAGCTAAGTAACAGTGTTACAAGCCTCGAGATGAGTTACTTGTTCACTAGTGATGTGTAGTTCGCGAGTGATTCGTTCAAAATGAACGAATCTTTCGTTCACTGTGTTTTTATTTCTTAGCTTTTCACATGGTTTTAATTGCTTATGGTATTTTGTGTACTTTGTAGACTTTGTCAGCGGAAGCAAACCATGTTGCCTTCAGTATTTAGTGTCGGAGAACCGCAGCCTCCTTTACAACGCCCACAATAGGGCTAAAGCGCCACCTGCTGTAAAACGAATGAAATGATTAGTTCAAGATTCGTTCACGACTCGTTCATTTTACTGTTCGAGAGTCAAAGATTCAAATCAATAAAAATAGTCGGTCTTCCCATCACTATTGTTCACAGAAGATGTATCTTTACTAACCTGTTTACACAGGAAAAGAAGAGACAACGTCAGCGGTTGTGTTCTTCACAGCAGGATGATAGCTGTCTTTATTAAACAGAATCAACTCTTCTTGTGCTCAATTCCACCATTGTCCTTCAGCCGTCATGCTCCACAAATCACCACAAAATAAATGCTAACTGCATGTATCGGTTTTCCAACATAAATGAAATAAACATTTGTGTCCCCAGAGTCACAGTTTTACTATTTCAACCAGCTGTATACTGTTTTACTTGTGCTTTTAACACGTAACTTCCGTTATTTAGTTTTTAACCATACTACTGCCTGTTTGAACACATTTTTCATAATATAAACTATCATGTAAACTACACATCAACGTCCGATTTTAACCTGAATGAGTAACTTTAGCATAAACATTCAGATAACAACTTACATAAAACCAAATGACAATAAATGCACGGGAGCGACACAAAACCAGATGAAAATATCATCAGACCGCCATTTTCTATAGTTGTCCTCTCCGCGGGAAAACGGGACTACTGCTACTTCAGCTCTCACGGTTTACAACGTCATATCTTCATTAACAGACTTCATTCACACATACAATATGGTTTTAACAGTCCTTAAACATGAATAACGGTCAGTTAACGCACTTTACTAATCTGTTTACACAGGAACAGAAGAGACAAAGTCATTGGATGCGTTCTTCATAGCAGCCTATTAGCTGTCTGAGGAACGTCAGCCTGACGTCGCATATTAAAACTAGCGCTCGCTGTGGAGGGCACTGGAGTTACAGACCTACACTCCGCTGACGTTTATAGAAAACACATCACATCTGCTTTAATTCTCATCCAAAACATGTAAAACACAATAACTCACAAATTTGTGACCGTACATATTTGTAGGTGTCACAACAGCAACCTACAAATATGGGGAAAGACGTGACAACTTCGCCTTCACTACGAAGACCCTTATCAGTGGAATTGTCGGGAAAATACGTATCATAGTTACATACAAATTGACAGGAAGTACGAGTTAAGTGTGTGTTCTTGACCAGGACATTGACTACAGATAGACACTCAGTGCTGGTAGACCAGATGAAATCCTGTTGAGGACCATGTATTCTGAGACACAAAGAAGACATTTGGTCGGAATTTTACTTAACGGTTCAGCGGTGACAAGACACGATCAGCACTTACAGCAGGGGGGAAACAGTCCACACGGGAGTTGGAATGGGTGAGACGGGCCAGAGGTACCAGATCGTGATACTAGGAGTTTTAGGGTAATAGGATGGAAGAGGCGGTCCCAAGGGAAACTCACGGATCAACAACTGTTCCAAGTAAAAACACGGCTTTATTCGTGAACTTGTCTCTTTTGTTCTATTTCAGTTTTTTTTTTTTTTTTTTTTTTACAAAGTTCTGTTTTGTCATATTTTCCTCAAAACTGTCAAATTCAAAAACTTGACTTCGTGTACTCAGATGAAGTAAAAGTACTTAAAACATGTTAGGCTCCTCCCCTCCTGAAAAACCTGTTCCAACGATTCCTGCCTGGTTACAGACGACTCGGTTTTATCCTTTAATGTGATTGGATGTCGGTGGAAAAGTTCGTAGAAAACTCAGTCGAATTTATGACAAAACAAAAACGAGCGAACGCACGTACTCCTGATGTGTTCAAGGAGCCTCGGAAATCCTACGTACTCCGCTGTGCCCCTGAGCGACAGCCCAGTGTGAACGTGGTGTGGGTCACTCCTCGGTGTCACAGTTGGTCATTTGGTCTATCTAACATTGAATGACATTAAGTCCATTTTATTGGTGTAAACAAATAAAAGCAACGCATTTCGTGTCATAGGACGGTTTTGATATCAACGAAAAACTAAATGAATTTGACGTCATCCTCCAGAGAGTCCGTGAGACAAGGACAAAGGTAGAAGGA